TTGATGTCTGGAAACTGGCTAGGCCACTCCATGACCTTAATGTGCTTCTTCTTGAGCCACTCCTTTGTTGCCTTGGCGGTATGTTTCGGGTCGTTGTCATGCTGGAAGACCCATCCATGACCCATCTTCAGTGTTTTGGCTGAGGGAAGGAGGTTTTCATCCAAGATTTTACAGTACATGGCCCCGTCCATCAAATCAGCAGGGGATCAAATAAATATTTTCCTCACTGTATATGCCCACATTCAGTTAGCTGGCATGCTTTTATAAAAATTAAATGAAATAAAAAAATAAATTAAATTAGTATAAGTGTGAATTTTGACACCTACGGTATTTCTAACATCCCGTTCGATGAACTTTAACATTTAATAGAAAGTCGGACCAGAGAGCTGTGATTGATCCTAATGGTGTTATTGATATTGCAATGGAATGCAAGGAGCTTAATAGCGAACGGTCAAGAATTCAAAGAATGAATTGCAGAACAGAATAATAAACCACATGTAGTTTGCATTCAGGAAACATGGCTTAAGGATTTTATCCTCATTTGGATTTTAAATCGCAAGATTAAGAGTGTGCGAAGGGATAAAATATATGGAGTAGGAGGGGGAGTGGCTACTTTTGTAAAGGAAGGGATACAATTTAGAACAGTTGAAGTAGGTAATGAATCTGAAGTAGATCAGAATTTGAGAATAATTCATTACTATAACCCGTGTGAGAGATTAAGTAGAGAGATATTCTTGAGGAAATCAGGGGAGAGAATTTGCATAGATTGGTTTGGTGTGGAGATTTTTTAATGGACACAGTATGGGGAAGTGAAAAAGATTTTAATGAAAATATTACAGAGGATATGTTAGATAAGTGTGAATTAGTTTGTGTTAATGATGGAAGAGCAACAAGAATTTATTTAGCAAAAGGAAAGTCATCTGCCTGAGACTTAACCATTGTTTCAGGAAATCTGGCAAGGAGATGCGTGTGGGATGTATTGGACCAAAATTGAATAGGTAGTAATCATTATCCGATAACTTGTAAAATAGGAATAGATATGGAAGTGAATGTAGTGGAAATAATGCCTATATGGAAATTAAGTCAGCTGACTGGGATAAATTTAAGGAGGTAAGTGAGACATTGATGATGGAAATAGAAGAATCAGTAGAGGAGGTTGAAGAATTAAACAATAGATTAAGTGAGAGTCTTTGTAAGGCAGCAGAAGAAGTAATTGGTAAAAGTAAAACAAGAAAGAAAGAAGCCAGTCCCGGGGTGGGATGATGAGTGTAGTGAAGCAATAAAGTATCAGAATAAAGCTCTGAAAAAGGTTAGGAAAAACTACGTTTTTAATGATTTTATTGAGTATAAGAGGAAACAGACAATTGTTAGGAAGGTGATCAAAAATGCAAAACGAAATTATTGGAGACAATATTGTGAAAGTATAGGGGAAGAAACTGAAATAAGTTCTGTGTGGGGAATTATCAAGAAGATGAATGGAATAGAGATAATTGTTTAAGAGATAATCCAGAATTATTAGTTCATAAAGGATTATCAGGAAATATGTTAGATATTGATTTTTCCTTATATGAACTAAAAAGGGCCATTATAGGGGCAAAGCTATCTCCCCACAGCAAAATCCCCAGAGTTAAATTAACTCTGCTCAGAGTACATATTGTCCCAATCTACAGAGTGTTAAAGTAACACGAAGCAGATTTACCACTGTTGAGGATTATGTGATATGTTTTCATGTCTAAAAGCCTGAGCAGTAGTTGTTCATCTTCAACATTGTTAACAGCGGGTTTTCTTTAATAATGTTCACTCATCAATTAATTAATTGCTTAATTATCCCATTAACTTTAACTCGGCTTCAGTGTTACTTTAACACTCTGTAGATTGGGACAATATGTACTCTGAGCAGAGCTGATTTAACTCTGGGGATTTTGCTGTGCAGGGAAGGATGATGTGTGCGCTATGAAATGGTTAAGCATCTATCACAGTGGTTCCCAAACCTGTCCTGGAGGACCCCCTGCCCTGAACATTTTTTATGTCTCCCTAATCAAACACACCCAATTTAGTTCTTGCAGTCTCTACAAACGAGCTGATGAGTGGAATCAGGTGTGTTAGATAAGGGAGACATACAAAAGATGCAGGGCAGGGTGTCCTCCATGACAGGTTTGGAAACCACTGATCTATCAGATATCTATTCAGATATCCCAGAATCTGGGATAAAGGGATCTTACCGACAATTTGTAAACATGGGATTATTATTCCAATGGCAAAACCAGGAAAGGACTCTTCATTAGTGTCTAGTTACAGTAGGGTGACCATACGTGCCATTTTCCCAGGACACATCCTGGCCAGGATTTCTATATTGCCTAAAATATCTAGGTTTTGGCTTTGCTTTGCTTTGCTCTCGAGGTATTTTGATGTCATACACCGATCGGTCTGCACATGCAAACAAAGCCAAAACCTAGATATTTTAGGCAATATAGAAATCCTGGCCAGGATGCGTCCTGGGAAAATGGCACGTATGGCCACCATAAGTTACAGGCAGCCCTAACGTCTAATCTGTGTAAAATAATGGAGAGAATGATTATATTTAGATTGAATCATGTTCTGGAAAATAAAGGATATTTTTCTCCTTTCCAGAGTGGGTTTCGGAAAGGTCGGAACACTATGGATGCGGTTCTGTGTCTAGAGTCTGATATAAGGAAGGAAGGAAGGCGTAAGGAAGTTTTAGTAGGAGCATTTTTCGACGTGGAGAAAGCCTACAACATGATTTGGAAAGAGGGACTTAGGGACTTCTTGGATAAGATGGGTATTGGTGGAAGAATGTTTAACTGGATTCATAGTTTCCTTTTTGATAGATCTATTGAAGTCAGGGTGGGTTCATCATTCTCCAAAAGATATTATACTGAAAACGGTACTCCTCAGGGCAGTGTGTGTAGCCCCATCCTATTTATTGTAATGATTAATGACATTTTTTCCCATTTTTTTGCAGGAGCTGAAAAGACTATTTTTGCAGGGCACTGTGGAAGAGAGGGAGGAATGTTTTGTATGTGGTTAAAAGTATGCAGAGTGCAATTAATGAAGTGGAGAAATGGACAGATAAGTGGGGATTCTGATTATCAGTGTCAAAAACACAGGTTATCTGTTTCTCAAAAAAGAGAGAACGTAACCGTATAAAATTACAGCTATATGGCAAACCTTTAGAACAGGTGATTGTGTTAAGGTATGGGGTTTGGCTGGATACTAAACTGATATTTGGAATTCATATGCAAAAAATGTTTGATAAATGCAAAAACGTTTTAAATATTTTAAGATGTTTAGATGGGGTGGATAATTAAGTCAACCATAGATTATGGATGTATAGCATATGGGTCTGTGTCCAAAACATTGCTGCATAAAGTAGAAATTATTCAGTCACAGGCATTACGAATATGTTGTGGTGCTTCAGGTCTTCTCGTATTCCTGCCTTACAGGTAGAAATGAATGAAATGCCTCTTGATATCAGAAGAATAAAGCTAATGTTGAATTACTGGATATCAGTTAAGGGACATAATGATACACATCCAATTAAAAAAGTGTTGTTAAAATGTTGGGAACATGAATCTGTCAAGCTTAATAGTTTTGGATGGATTGCAGAAGAGGAAGCTCTATCGAGAGGGATCATAAATGTAGAATTGAGCCCGACAGTAGTAAGATCACCCATGTCACCGTGGCTCTTCTCTTTACCATTAGTAGATCTGAATTATTCCCTGTATAGAATGAACAAACATGAGTCTGGGAATTGCAGTCTATGTGGATTAGCAGAAACTGAAGAACTTACTTATTACTATATTAAGAATATACTGCAGTGCTTATTAAAATTAAAGGATAATTCTGGTGGAAGAGTTAAAAGAAAAGGGTATAGGAAATATTAAACTTAAAAAAACTGCTGAATAATGGATTGGAAAGTTATAGAGTATATAAAGCATTAATGAAATATTTAAGAAAGGTGCATCTGTTTAAGAGGATTTAGAAGCCAATTTATTATTAGTTTTTTTTCTCTCTCTCTCAGCTTAGTCTTTCTTCTTGTTCCATCAATGAATCACACTCCAGCTCAGTAGGTGGCGGGAACGCACCTTTTTGTTTGTTTACCAACCGCCATAAAAAGACAGAAGAATGCTCCAAACTCCATCCCAGTGGGTGGCGGTATATGCACCTAAAGCTGGTTTGCCAACCGCCGTATAAACGTCAAAGAAGAAGAAGAAGAAGCAGCATGAAGATATTTTATTAGAAGTACTGCAAAGTTTGTACCGAATACGGCAACTGAGAATTCTAGCAGAATTTGTATGGGTGTCTGCTCATGTTGGAGTGGAAGGGAATGAGGAGGTAGACAAGATAGTGAAACAGGCTCTTAAGCACACAAATATTGACATGCATATAACCTTGAGTAAATCTGAAATTAAAGGTTTAATTAAAGTAGCTGTCAGAAAGATATGACAAGAGAGATGGGATAAAGGTAACAAAGGGCGACATTTGTATAATATAAATAATCAAGTAGGACAAGTAAGAACTGCTTATGGTAATAGAAGGGATGATACAGTTATATCTCGATTGAGAATTGGACACTCTACTCTTAATAAATCACTCCAGATGATAGGAAGACATGAATCTGGTCAATGTAATCATTGTGGACTTCCAGAAACTGTAGAGCATGTGCTGATTAACTGTAGGGCATATGAAAGGGAACGAATACAGTTAAAAGAGGAATTAAAATCTGACGGCATTAATTCTATGACATTACAGAATGTGTTAAACAGTTCTCATAAAGGTTATAAAGCTCTTATTAATTTTCTGAAAATAACAAATTTATATAATAAAATATAGGTAGAATTTTTTTTTTTTTTGAGAATCAGCTTTTTCCTTGATATCAGCGCCTCACACTCCATCCCAGTAGGTGGCGGTATATGCACCTAAAGCTGGTTTGCCAACCGCCATAAAACATCAAAAGAAGAAGCAGCAGCAGCAGCATGCGTCGTAGTAGTAGTAGCAGTAGTAGTAGTAGTAGCAGCAGCAAAATGGCTTCACCGTATTTGGAGAATCCTGTAGACATCGGAGCCCAAATTGTACAAAGGGCTTTACGCAGGGAAAGAGTTCTAAGAGATAAACAAAACCCACTGGCATTCTCTGATGAGCACTTATACGAGAGATACAGGTTTTCGTCGGAGGGAATGTTATATCTTTGTCGGCTTCTTGAGGCCCATATTAAAAACCCGACGCGGCGAAGCCACGCGACCACTGTCCCGCAAATGATTTGTATCGCGTTGCGTTTCTTCGCAAGTGGCACATACTTGTATGAGGTGGGCGATGCCGAGAAGCTCAGCAAAAACACAGTTTGCCGAACTATTCGTAGGGTGGTTATCGCACTCCAGAGATACATAAACACGTTCATTGTGTTCCCTGGACATTTACCCACCGTGGCCATAAAAGAGGGCTTCTCTAAAATAGCTGGTAAGATGGATTTATTCACGAATACACCATCAGTAATGATCGATAAAAGTTGCCAAACAGATTTTTAAAAATCTTTTAAAGGATTCCCTAGAATTATTGGAGCAATAGATTGCACGCACATTCCAATCTCTACACCAACAAAACAAATTGAGGCTGATTATCTTAATAGAAACGCTACTCATAGCCTCAACGTTCAGGTAGGTATATTTCTTTTGACTAATATGCCTATATTTTCGTGATAATGTATCACTAACCCATGGGACTCACCTACTGTGTGTTAATTACAGATGACTTGTGACCATCAGTGTATGATCACAAGTCTGGATGCCAGATGGCCTGGCTCTATGCTGGACACCCACATTTTCGAGAAGTCGTTGTTATGTCAGCGCTTTCAAGAAGGTATGATCAAATGGGAACTGTAGACAACACTTGAATTAACTGTGACATTGTGACACTTTTCTCTTTTCTGTTCATTGACAGGGCTGTTTGATGGCCTGCTGGTGGGAGACAGAACTTACGCATGTCAGAGCTTTTTGATGACTCCCTACCCTGACCCCGAGACAAAACCACAAAATGACTTTAACATAGCCCTCAGTCAAACCAGGCTCAAGATAGACATGACTTTTGCCATTTTAAAGGCACGGTTCAACTGTCTTCGTGACCTAAGAGTATCACCAGAGCGGGCATCTCAGATCGTAGGTGCCTGTGCTATTCTCCACAACATAGCCACTATAAGGAAGGAGCGGGTGCCAAATGAATATCAACTCCCACCTGATGATATTGACCCCTTCACGCAGGACCATCCAACAGGCGGAGGTGTCAGAGATGCAATCACAGCAGAATATTTCTCTTAGCATTCAGTAAAAGCAAAATGACCAACATGTTTACATGTTCCTTAACTGCCTTTCATATTAAGACAAATGTTTCATATTCTAAACCTCTGTAAAAACCACTCCACAGATTGTGAATTCATATGAATTCTTGTAAAATGTAAAAAAATAAAAACTGCAGTTAGAATTCTGCTTCAATTTTTTTTATAAAAAAAAAAAGAATGACATTATACTATTCACAACTATTTTGACTGTTTGAATGGAAAAAAAGTTTATTTCCAGGTTTAAATAATTTTTTTAATGTCAGATTTTTTTAGTCAGAGTTTGGACCTCTACGTATAATAATTATGTATCATGAATGTATTCATCTTATTTCAAGAAGAGAAATCATTCATCATAAACATTTTTGACTCTTCTCAACTGTGCTTATGAAATTACATACTCGGACTGTGACAGTCGGTGAGTTTATGCAAAAAAAATATTTTGCGTGTCAGACAGTGGAGACACTCTTTCAGACCTATTTTCATCTCTTCATTAATGTACAAACCTTGGCTACAATATTAAACCGGATGTTGACAGTGGCCTACCTCATTTACAGCTTACAAATACTGGTAGAAAAAATAAAGTGCGTGAATGTACAATGTAAAACAACAGTAAAACAGTGTCAAAGTATAAAAAAACGCAATCTACTTTACATTTTCCATTCAAAACACACAAGCTGAAAACACAGTGGAATGTAACACATGATTAAACAACATCAAACATGTCATGGTTAATGTGGATTAAAAAGACTTTTCCAAGTGGAACGGATGTCTATAATAGCAACGTTAGTGCATGGGTGTGTTTGAAGTCTGGATAACCCATAAATGAACATAGCCTGCAATGTTCTTCTACATTTTTTTCCTTTTTACCCTTAAACAGATTGCAAGTTTACAGACATTTTCAGCCTTTTCCCACTGTATTAACCACTCCTCCATTATCTCACTCTTTACCAAAATGCCAAGCATACCGTTTATATTGTAATATTATAATATTGTATTATTGTACAGTATCATTACCTTGTTTCTGCCTGTTTAGATTCCATCTATATTCTGTACCAAACACAATAACCACCAAAACTATGAGGCAAAACAGAATCTCAAGTTTTTGTGCTTTACATTCCCATATAACTCTTCAGATGTACATTCAAGGGTATTAAGAAAAAGTTTCTTAATGCTCATACACGCTTGCAACATTTTATCTAAAAGCAAATATAATTTTTTTTCCATTATTACTCCACATTTCATAGTTCCATACACATCATACCATTATTTAACACCAGGCACTTTACTAACATGAACACATTTGAATAACAGAATAAACACCAAGAGACTACTTCCCAAAAAGGACTAAGAAATTAAACAATAAATTGGAAATTAAAAAAGGGAATAAATAAAAATAACAGCAGATTTCTAAAATGTTAAGAAAGTAACCAAGTTCTATAACACTAACAAGCAACCTGGTCTGAACTGCCTGGTGTTCAATGCTGGTATAATGAGAATCTGCAGAGTATGGGCTATGGGTTTCATAGTCAAATCTTACATTTAAAGTACCCCATTAAACACTTATGTATTGAAACTTTGCACAAAGAATAGCAAAGGAATACAAACAGACATAGAACAGTCTTCTCACCTTGAGTTAGGCATCATTACTCTGTCTTGGCAGTGATAATAGCACCAGTACCAGTCCTACAACACAAGGCTCATTGCCCATTTCTCTCCTGTTCATCCATCTGGTCCACCCTTCCTTGGATTGTTGTTTCTGATTTCTAATGTATCAGCGCACTCTCATATTAACACATATTTTACCGTTTAACATGAAAGGGTGAAAGAGATGTGGGAGTAGATTTGAGGGCATTGTCTTAAACAACTACAATTTGGCAATACACACACTGAGCATGTCCCATCTATTCTCTTGTGCTCAGGGCTCAGTACGCTTAGTCTTCAAGAAAGCTGCCCATTGAATGTACCAAGTGAGCATTAAGAGTGTTAGACTGTTTATGCGTAAATTATGGAAATTCATCAGAAACGTCAGTATTTTACACCACAGAGTCTCTGATCTCAGAGCCCAGTCGTACTCGTGGCCGAGGGCTAATGTCACTGACTTCCACATGAGTCTCTTTAAAGCCATTCTGTGGCGTTTGGGCAAGTGTCTGTGCTTCTTTGGAGTTGTTCTGCGTGCTTGTCTCTGATTGAGCGATTGTGTAACCACAGTTATCCTCCAATGTCTGGTAGCTTTTGTGGTCGGATGGGGAGGTTGGAAGCTCACCAGCATTGAGGGGTAAACTCTCCCCAGGCCTGACTGTGCTCTTTTGGGCTCCTCCAGTTTGCTCTCCTCCTCTCAGTACCTCCTTCATCCAGCCCCTGTGTCGATATGCTACCGACAGCCCGAACGAAAGCACACAAACAGCTAACAGCACACACACTACGGCCAGCTCTGTGCCATACGTCTTTATGCGCAGTTGAGCGGCGCGCACTGATTCGCTGGACAAGACATCCGACGATATGCTTTGGATTATAAGATGTTCATCCAGCCGCCCCGTATTGGTTGCAGTCTCGGATAAAGGCTCTGCCTTCACACAGTAATTGGCCAAGAGCTGCCTGAAGCCATGTTCTTCTGACCAACATGAGAAGACCTCATCGCTGCCTGGACGGCCGCTGACTACTAACCCACCCTCCGGGCTTGGGAACAGGAAGCGTCCTACATCTGGCTTGTATGACCATTTCCTTTGTGCACGGTTGGAGCGAAGATTGCAGGGCAGCAGCCGAAGAGTATTAGCTGGGATGATAATGAGCTCGCAAGCAGATTCTTGGGAACTTGGGAAAGAACGTGGCAACACTAGAAAGAGAGATGGGTGTTATGACACATTCAGATGGATGACAGATGCTTGTATATGTTGGGATTTGCAGGTTTACCTGAGCTCTCAGACACCACACTGAACATTGTGCAGTTACATTTTGAAGTGTCTGCCTTCTCAATATCCTGCTGCCATTGGCTGAAATATGCATAAAATGAAATATGGAAGGTATAGATTGGTATTTGTACTGAAAATGATTAATGCAACAGATGATTTGGATGGAAAAAGGGAAAGAAAGAAGACTTACTTTAGTGGTGGGATATGTTTGACGTCAGTACAGTGTGTGCCTGTCCAGGCACAGTATGGGTCTCTGGCCAAAACACACTCGCCACAGTTGTTATGGAAACCGCAGTTTGCTACTGGCAGCTGCACAATACCAGAGTGTGACGACACAAATAACAAACCCTGTTTGTTGAGAGAGAGGGTTCAAAGTAAGAGAGTGAAATGAATGCTTTGTGGAGCACAAAGGCAAGAAAAATGTGTAAATGTTTGTTCAAATACACTACCATACAAAAAAATATATATATATTTTTTATTTTATTCCGAATTTAAATTTGAATAAAAATATTTCAAAAGTGACATTTTAAAATGTCACAAAAGATTTCTATTTCAAATGAATGCTGTTATTTTCAACTTTCTATTCATTGAAAAACTCAAATGTAACCCAACATCACAGTTTCCACAAAAAACGAAGCAGCACAACAGTGTTCAACAGTTACCTTGTATACACCCTTTCATAAGTATAAACAGTAACACTTTCTGTTAATTTGTGTTCTTGAAATTGAAAGGTTAAAAATGTATCAGTATATGTATGTAGATATTAAAATTAACCAAATTTAATAAATGCTGTAAAAGTATCGTTCATTGTTAGTTCATGATATTTAATGCATTAGCTAATTATAACAAATTGAAAAGTGTTAGCACATAAACACACACACCGTAGTTGAATCCAGCTCTATGTTTTGTACAGGTTGTTGCTCTGGGAACAGTTGGATCTCCTCAATGATGTGCATCATACCGACTACATTCACAGCCTTTTGCAAACGTCCATCATCTGACAAATCACAGAGCATAACATCAAGAGCTATTTAGAAAATAAATGAAATCACAGAAACCCAGACACTCAAATAAAAAAAAAACACATACCTGTGCCAATGAACATCACATCGTAAGCTTCATGGAGGCCTTGCACATGGTGCACAGCAATTTGTGTGTAGTGCACAGAGTGTGTGAAGAGCACAGGCCGACTTTTGACAGGACTGTCCATCAGGAAGTGGTCTTTCACAAAGTTTAGTACTTTATCTGGCATATCAAGGGATGAGTCTATTCCCAGCTGCCTTGAAGCATTAGTAATACACTGCAGAAAGGACAAAAAAAAGCTTCACGAAAACTCAAATATCCTCCACTTACATAGAACTGGTAAAGTGTATATGTAGGAGTGTGTGCCATCTTACCATTCCAGGTCGTGGTTCAGGTACAGAGTGAGTGTGTGTGTACCATTGCTGTGTCTCTCGGTTCACTTCTTTGTAACGGCCATTAAACGCTTTTTCTACCTGATCCATGCTGAACACACACACTGCTGAACTGCCTGCCAGACCTTTACTCCTACAAAACATACAGCAACAAATTAGCAATGTTACATTCAGTTTCTAGTATGATTAATGAAAAACATCCTCTCCCTTCAAGCTTATCTTCCTTTGCCACTCTACATTTTTTGCTCACCACTGAGAAGTGAAGACTGCATAGAGGAGTGTGTTTTTCTTGCGTTGGGCTGGGAGCACATACACATCCTGTATGATGTTGAAAGGAAAGCCATCGTCCGGTAGCGAACACAAGAGTTGAGCTTTCAGAAATGTGGTCCATTTCTTCTGCAGGACTCTCTCCCCACCTTGATCCTCCTGAGGCCATACACACACACAAACAAATGATTAACACTTTCAAACCAGCATATAGTCTCAATAATTCACAATACTCAGAAAGCCCGCTAGGGGGCATCATAACTCCAGCCCTGGTTTCAGAGTATCTGCGGTACCATAGTACAATATTAGATAGTCATAACATGGTACTAAACTATTATTATATGCATATACCATAGTATTTATATAATTCTCCAGGGCATCTCAAAGAATAATATTGTAATTCCATAGTACATGTCTAAAACAAAACATGGTATTATCATGGTACTCCCATGGGTTTTAGGGAGCATCAGTGGGAGGGAAAGTAACACACATATGAGCATTATTAGGGAAGAGTTCACAGTCTCCTGTGATTCACCTTGTTCATCAGCTTTTTAAGTTAACATGAAACTAGGGTGACCAGATGCCCCGGTTTTACAAGTGTCCAGAGTTATGACAATTAACTAAAAAATTTTTTTTTTTACATTTATCCTGCTTCATCTGTTACACTCAATGACTTGAAATTAAAGGACAGGTTAGAAGATTTTCAACCAGCTTTGAATTGTTACAATGTCTGTATTATATGTAAATGAACCATGTGTACTCTTTCTCCATTCTACCTGCAAAAAGATCTCCATGTTTATTTGTCACCTAAAGTCTGTCCTAAAGTAAATTAAGCTAGTTTAAATATGAGTTTTCTAAAACAGAGCTTTTTAATTATTGGTTAACATTGTCTAATAGTCGACAGAAAAAGTTATTTCAGAGCCAGAGCATCTTTACATTTTAATAAAAGACTATTAAAACTTTATAATGTAATGTGCACTAATGGATTTTGCAGAATAACACCAGGAAACATTTAGATTTTTATGTTGACCTTTAGAGCTAAAGCAGAATGAGTTGAGGAATCTTTAGAAGATAAGAATATGCTAAGTGCATAGTGATATTGGAAATATTGGCATTTGTGTATGTGTGTGTGTGTGTGTCAGTACGTGTTCTTTCTCAGGTTTATGCTGAATTTATCAACAGTGTGTGAACTGCTTAAACAATCCATCTTACCTTACACACACGTGCGATCCTGGACACTATGGTGTTATCAAAGAAGTCGAACTCTTTCCCCATTTCGCTGAAGAAAAAGTAGATCTGATCATCACTTCTCTCGCTGTCTAAACCTGTAATATGAGCAGAACCTACAAAAGCTGGGTCTACCGGACCGCAGCAAACACACACACATACAGAAATAAAACATCAAAATACCTCGAGAGCATGTTGAAAGCATAAGGAACCGTCTGTATGGTATTTTGATGTCTTACACCGATCGGTCTGCACATGCAAACAAAGCCAAAACCTAGATATTTTAGGCAATATAGAAATCCTGGCGAGGATGCGTCCTGGGAAAATGGCACGTATGACCACCATAAGTTACAGGCAGCCCTAACGTCTAATCTGTGTAAAATAATGGAGAGAATGATTATATTTAGATTGAATCATGTTCTGGAAAATAAAGGATATTTTTCTCCTTTCCAGAGTGGGTTTCGGAAAGGTCGGAACACTATGGATGCGGTTCTGTGTCTAGAGTCTGATATAAGGAAGGCGCAGGTCAATAAGGAAGTTTTAGTAGGAGCATTTTTCGACGTGGAGAAAGCCTACAACATGATTTGGAAAGAGGGACTTCTAATTAAATTGGATAAGATGGGTATTGGTGGAAGAATGTTTAACTGGATTCATAGTTTCCTTTTTGATAGATCTATTGAAGTCAGGGTGGGTTCATCATTCTCCAAAAGATATTATACTGAAAACGGTACTCCTCAGGGCAGTGTGTGTAGCCCCATCCTATTTATTGTAATGATTAATGACATTTTTTCCCATTTTTTTGCAGGAGCTGAAAAGACTATTTTTGCAGGGCACTGTGGAAGAGAGGGAGGAATGTTTTGTATGTGGTTAAAAGTATGCAGAGTGCAATTAATGAAGTGGAGAAATGGACAGATAAGTGGGGATTCTGATTATCAGTGTCAAAAACACAGGTTGTCTGTTTCTCAAAAAGAGACAATGTAACTGAAAATTACAGCTATATGGCAAACCTTTAGAACAGGTGATTGTGTTAAGGTATGGGGTTTGGCTGGATACTAAACTGATATTTGGAATTCATATGCAAAAAATGTTTGATAAATGCAAAAACGTTTTAAATATTTTAAGATGTTTAGATGGGGTGAATAATTAAGTCAACCATAGATTATGGATGTATAGCATATGGGTCTGTGTCCAAAACATTGCTGCATAAAGTAGAAATTATTCAGTCACAGGCATTACGAATATGTTGTGGTGCTTCAGGTCTTCTCGTATTCCTGCCTTACAGGTAGAAATGAATGAAATGCCTCTTGATATCACAAAAATAAAGGTAATGTTGAATTACTGGATATCAGTAAAGGGACATAATGAAATTCATCCAATTAAAAAAAGTGTTGTTAAAATGTTGGGAACATGAATCTGTCAAGCTTAATAGTTTTGGATGGATTGCAGAAGAGGACGCTCTATCGAGAGGGATCATAAATGTAGAATTGAGCCCGACAGTAGTAAGATCACCCATGTCACCATGGCTCTTCTCTTTACCGTTAGTAGATCTTCATTTGCAAAAAACGATTAATGATAAAAAATAGTGATAACTAAGGATGCAATGGTTATGTAGTATCTTGAGCAGACTTATAGTTCAATGATTACAGTTTTCACTGATGGATCTAAAGATCCGGAAACAGGTCGAGCTTCAGCAGCAGCTGTATATATCCCACCTTATCAAGTTAAAATTGGTAAAAGGGTATCTGACCAAGTAGGAGTTTACACAACAGAGATGGCAGCAATATTGTTAGCTACCAGGTGAATGGAGGATTCTCGACCAATGAATGTGGTGATATGCTCTGATTCTTTCTAAGCATTATCAAGTCTAATTAGTGGGAGATCCTCAAGACAAGATATGCTATATGAAATTATTTTAAGTATGTACAGGGTAAATACATTGGGAAGCAATATGTTTCCTGTGGGTTCCAGCACATGTGGGAGATGGAAATGAGGAAGTGGATCATGTAGCAAAGGAGGCACTAAAATAATCTTAAATAGAACTGAATATTCCACTTTGTAAAGAAGAAGTTAAGGCTATAATTAGAACAGCTATAAAAGGCAAATGGCAAGTACCATGGAATGAGGAGGAAAGAGGAAGACATCTTTATCAGATTCAAAATATAGTTGGTGGTGAAAGAGGAAGTCATGGCAGTAGAAGAGAAGACACAATCATTACCAGACTTCGCCTTGGACATACAGCTCTTAATTATTCCCTGTATAGAATGAACAAACATGAGTCTGGGAATTGCAGTCTATGTGGATTAGCAGAAACTGAAGAGCAAGTAATATGTTGCACTGCTCATCAAAATGAAAGGATAATTCTGGTGGAAGAGTTAAAAGAAATGGGGATATGAAAATATTACACTTAAAAAAAGTTATAGAGTAAATAAAGCATTAATGACATTTTTAAGAAAGGTGCATCTGTTTAAGAGGATTTAGAAGGCAATTTATTATTATTGGTCCCTTTCCTTAACATTTTATTTTTCTCTCTCAGCTTAGTCTTTCTTCCCGTTCCATCGAGAAGGGTGTTCCTGCACAACCGGAGGCTGCGGTTTCAGGACTGCAGTTCTAGGACCCTATTCTTTTGTAACAGCGCCACCTACCGAAGTGGATAATATAGCGGAGGCTGCAGCTTCAGGACCGCATTTCTGGGACCCTGGTGGTTTAGTTTGTAGTAATGTTTGTACATTGTTGTTAAAGATATTGAATCGCAGGAACATTTTTTTTATTTCAATTGTGATTTTTGATTTATAAATGCATCAGATGTTAATTACAAAGTGTGTAATACCTGCTTTGAGTTAACAATTTTAAATGTAAATGAATTTACACTTAAAATATAAATGAAAAATGTATTTCAGTCTTTAAACAACTGAAAAAGTGGAGTACCTTAAGTCTTAGTTTCTTGAAATATACTGTAAATTGATTAGCCCCCTTAAGTTTAACTAGCTCATTATCAGGTATAATAAAGATGGAATCAAATGAAATCAGCATTTGCAGTCACTAAATTACAGCCAGATATTTAAAAGTTTGTAGAGAGGCAAGACACAAGACTCAAGAATGATTCAAGAATCCATATTTATATACTGTATATACTCATTTTTGCAATAACTCATAATACAACATCATTAAAAAAGACCCCCTTTTCCATCAGTTGCTGCATGGACAGAAAGGCTGTAGGCTTCAACTCCTGAGAGAGATAAGCGAGAGCGAGAG